AGAGTCTGGGCATAAACTCGGCTACGCTCCCCTTGCCTATATGCACCCTTGCGCACACGCCACCAGGCTCTACACCACCAGTAGAGCGAGAAGCAAAGCCACTGGCCAAGCAGGCTTCACGAAGTCCCCAGCGTCGGTGGACAGACGTTAGCCACGTTCATAAATGCAAACCGTTTGGGCAACTCACGTGCCAAATGTGGGTTAACCCTGCGGCCAAACGCGCGGGAAATACCGTCCTTTATCCTGTCACGGTTTTCAAAAAGAAATGAACTCTTACTGAAATTTCCACCGCTTCCCACACTGGCCACTCAGGTCTGGGGGAAGCTGGGTTTACTCTCCCAGCCCAGTAACGCAGTCCTGCCTTTGTGAATGGAGGGCGGGGCGAAGAGCACCGGAAGGAAACCCCAGTACCTCCTTTTGCGCCAGCGCAGATAGGCACCTCCTATTGGCCACCTCGGCCCGGAAGTGTTTGTGGTCGAGAGGGCTCCCTCCGCGCTTGCGTACGGCTGTGTATTTGCGTGATGCAGCCTTCGGGCTCGACCTCAAGTAGCGGTGCCTACGCAGGTTTTCTCCTACCTTCTGAAATCTGTTTAAACCGGTGATTCATTCATGCTCAAGCACCTGAAGTATGTCTGACTGGTAGGATTGCTCTGTGTTCCCAAACATTTCGGACCTGTTGGCGGCGGGTGGGGAGCCGCGGTGAAAATTACTGTCTGGAGATTCCCCCCGCTCCGCGCGGCTTTGGACAGCTTTATACATTCGCAGAAGACCCAAAATTAATACCTTATTTGCCGACAGCACACAGGACCTTTCTAATAGTATTTTTTCAAGTATTCGTTTACAGAAAAGGAAGCGGGAAAAACTGATGTAGTCCAAGCCGTGGTGCTGAACCAGTGTATATCGTAGTTGTAAGATGATCCAGAAATAAACGGCAATTTATTTTTTATTTCAATGTTTTTATCTTCATTTGGTTGGGCAGAAAGCCCAAATACTGGGCTGCCAGGTTCAGGGCCAGACGCCTAGCCAGCCTGCTGACTTGGAGCTTCAGAGCCATGGCGACAAAGGAGTCAGGAGATGCCAACGCAGAGCCGGCCCCCTCATCAGCCAAGCGGAGAAAACCTGTGCCTGAAAAACCAAACTATGCGCTCAAGTGTACTCTTGTGGGACATACGGAAGCAGTGTCCTCGGTTAAGTTTAGTCCTAATGGTGAATGGCTAGCAAGTTCTTCTGCTGATAAAGTAATTATAATTTGGGGAGCCTATGATGGAAAATACGAGAAGGCACTTTATGGCCACAGCCTGGAAATATCAGATGTTGCCTGGTCATCAGATTCCAGTCGTCTTGTTTCTGCCTCAGATGATAAAACGCTAAAGATTTGGGATGTGAGATCTGGGAAATGTTTAAAAACCCTTACGGGTCACAGTAACTACGTTTTTTGCTGTAATTTCAATCCACCATCTAGTCTTATCATTTCAGGATCTTTTGATGAGAGTGTGAAAATCTGGGAGGTGAAAACAGGAAACTGCCTCAAGACTTTGTCTGCTCATTCTGACCCAGTTTCTGCTGTTCATTTTAATTGTAGTGGGTCCTTAATAGTGTCAGGTAGCTATGATGGTGCCTGTAGAATCTGGGATGCTGCATCAGGTCAGTGCTTAAAAACACTTGTTGATGATGATAACCCCCCCATCTCATTTGTAAGATTTTCTCCAAATGGTAAATATATTCTAATTGCAACTTTGGACAATACTCTTAAACTATGGGATTATAGCAGAGGTAGATACCTGAAGACATACACTGGTCATAAAAATGAGAAATACTGCATATTTGCCAATTTTTCCATTACTGGTGGAAAGTGGATTGTGTCTGGTTCAGAGGATAACATGGTTTACATTTGGAACCTTCAGACTAAAGAGATTGTACAGAAATTGCAAGGTCACACAGATGTTGTGATCTCAGCAGCATGTCATCCTACAGAAAATATCATTGCATCAGCAGCGTTAGGAAATGACAAAACAATTAAACTGTGGATGAGTAACTACTAAACCCTTTAGAAATCAAAGCCAAGTTGGCAAAAGGAATCAGATATTTATAAAGATGGTTTCTCTTAATTTTGGCATTTTTTAAAACAGTTTTGGATTACAAAATTTTAAAACCTCAGTCTAAATTTACAAAGCAAGACAATTGGGCTGATTTTTAATCTTTAGGTCTATTAATCTCTTACATCTGTCCCTGAACAGACTCCCTTTCTGTTTCTCTCAGTGGCTTACAGAGTGTCAGTGTATTTGAGAAATAAATAGAAGTAAGGTTCACAAGACAAAAATGACTGATTCAATGAGGGGAACAATGGAGTTTGGAATAACTCCAAGGTCTTGGGTTTGGGAGGTCAGATGAATAGAAGCATATAAACCTGGGATGGTGGACTGGAGATGTATGTCAGATGCCACTCACACACTTTCAGGTGATAGCCTACATGATGGGATAAGACATGGTCCATGGAATCGAGTCTGTAAATTGAGAAAAATAAGTCATGGTTTGGTTCTGAGTGTCTAAGATACTAAGTTTTTATCAAGGTAAAAACTAAAAATAAAAACATTATAAATGGCATTTTAGTGAAAGACCCTCTCACTACCTTGTCAAATTGTGCCCTCTCATGGTTTTTAGGCAAGCTAAGTGAAAGGTGAGCTGCTCTTTCATTATATGTGTCCTTACCTATGAACTCCTACCCACACTTCAAACTCAGCTCAGAAATCACCACTTTGTGGAGCCATTACTGCCTGCCTGACTTCTACCACAGCTGACAGCTAAGTTTTTTTGCTTCTTCCTACAGCTTCTGTTACAAAGTCCAAAATACATCATTTACCAGTTTGTTATGTAATAGGTTCATGGGCCCTGTTGCCAGTCATTTATGAGCTCTTGGGAGTCAAGAGCTCATAATGTTTTCTGTTTTTGTACATGGAAGGTGATAACAATAAATTATACCACCACCTCAGCTTCATTCATTCCTTCCTTACCTGCTTTCAGTAAATTTTTGGAATCAGTCCCCCATACTATTATTTTTGTTGATTGAAATTAAAGGTACCTGATCACACTCTCACATACTAACTTTATTCAAACAGGGCTTAGAGGAAATAAACAGTGGGAAGTTTGTGCCCACATTACCTATAGAGACATGGTAAACATGGGGAAAAAAGGTTAGAAATTAAGGTAAGACAATAAAACAAGGGCAAACTATCTTAATTCTTCTGTATTCTGCAGTACTTTGTAATAGTGCTCATTAAATCTGATTTGCTTGACAGGTTCTGAGGAATCTGAGATATTAAGAGTAATTATTAGGGTATGACAGCTAAGTATATGAAGTACTGGGAGGTGTGGAATTAGATAGGGGCAGTTCTGAAATTCTGGCCAAGAAACTTAAATTTAACCCATAAAGAGGTAGTCACTATGAGCTACTTTTAAATAGGAGCATGACACAAAATGAGACATGATTGTGTAAATTCTTGCTGCATGGTTACACTTGTGAGATTTGGTTTAATATTTTTTTTTACAATAAATCTCCAAGATAGAATACTTTAAAATGCTTCTTTAGAAGTTAAAAAATGGCAGTGTTCTATGAAGAAAGATTTTAAAAAGAAGATTAAAATTTACCCATTTAGAACATTAAGATGTAACATAAGTGTACCAAAATAATTGAGAAAAGCAATCTGCTAAAATGTGTAAGAAACAATGCTTTCTGATGATAAATTTCCAAGTGATAAAAATTGAAGAGCTTGATATCTAAAAAGCAGTGAAGGTCAAATACTCTAAAATTTACTCAAATTACTGAGTATTTTATTAAGCCAAGTTCCTGAACAGCTGCATAATTTTTTAATCTGCTATAGCCCTCTGGGGAGAAGCAGGTTGGGATGGCTATAAGGACTTACCCATTAATATTCAGGACATGTGAGAATAAATGAAATACTTAAATAGAAACTAGCATCCATATCTAACTTCAAGAGAACTTGGCATCCTAGTGAAAGTGTAAATGAGATACAAACCAGGTACAAATGCTTATCTCTAAACACTAACTTAATAAGAACATGCATCCAATAGATTCTCATAATTGAGAAATTCAGTATAAATAAAGGCAGAAGAAAATGGATCAGTTGTGAATTCCAAGCCCTGGAACAGAAGAGGCGACCTGGTTGGCCCCAGGGAACTCCACGATGCAGGGATTTCCAAGTCCTCAGAAACCTGCGGCTAGACCACTCTGATCACTGCACTTCTTGAGGACTTCTGCAAAGACTGCTCTCCTAAAGCCTCATCTGCCATGACACCTGAAGATGGCAGAGTACGGCTGCCTGCTGCCCAGGGTTCTAAGAAACACCACGGCCTCTGGGGACATTAGCTCTCTGAGATGCACTTGGGCAGTGTACTCAGCTGGCCTTCCTGTCTCAGGAATGAGTACACAGGAGAACGAAGCAGAACTAGAAGCCATTTTGGCTTTTTGGGCCATGTCACTGTGGTAATGGGAATCAAAGTAAAATGTGGGTACTGACTCTTTAATATTCTTTTTAGTATATTCGTCAGTATTTTTTATTTAGTATTTAATATTCTTTAATATCAAACTTGTCTCATTTTTCCTATTTTCATTTTCTCTGAAAGAGCTGAAAGGCTGTGTTTAATCTGGATCAAAGCTGCAAAATATGAATAAGCCATTTCTCTTAAGAAAATTTATTTGTACTTCTAGAGCAGAACTACAAAATGCTGTAAGTTTGTGCAAACCGTACGTTTGTGACCTGGATCCTCATTATCACATTTTTTCATTCAGGCTTGTTTTCTGCCACATCATTCCTGGATTTTCAAAGTCCAGCCAGCAGGGTACCTCTGCTACTCTGTTTTGGCCTTCATAGCTGCTTCCTCTCTCAGACGAGCTTTCTTTTCTAAGTTCAGGCTTGTTAAAGATTCATTTCTTTTGGCAGCCTAAAGTGAAACAAATTTGAACCCATGATTATTTGTACCAGTCTGGGGAGGCCACCATTATCCCCCACTGATAGTCAGTGGACTAGGACAGTGCAGGCATGGGACGGTCCGCCGCTTGCACCCAGGGCACAGCAGCCCCTCTGTGCACCCTCTGCTCCCTCTAATGCTTCACAGTACAGTAGCCCAGCCACTCAAGTACGAGACAGAAGGCCACACCTCTACCGTCTCTTCCTTTCTGCTGCTTTCCTCAAATCTAGCCTCTCTTCTTCCTTTGCAGTTTATTCCCTTGCTTTGCCTTCGCACTCCCTTTAGTGTTTCCGTACCTTCCTGTTTCCGTATCTATCCCTTTTCCTCCTCTCTTTCCTTACAACCGTTTCTCCTGCCTCAACTCATTGGTACACTTGCACTCTTTTGGCTCCTCCTCTTTTACCAAAAACATTCAGCTTTGGGGACCCCGGACTTGACCAAGTACTCCCACTGATGACTTCCAGCAGTATCTGTCCTACTTCTCCACCCTCTGAGAACCACGGCAGTGGGGGAGGGCAACCATCTGCTGCCTTCCCCTCCAGGGGGCTTGGCACATTACTGTAAAGCTTGTGTTAACAGCCCAGTTTCAAAATGCTTAAACCAAGTAAGTGAAACGAGCACCCTCTATATCTAATTTCACATGTAAAGAAGTAGGTGCTGGGAAGTGGGGAGAATGGGAATGATAAGTGGATGGTGAGGACAAAACACAATGGCTACTTCTCTCTTCTAAGTGGCACTAAGTTCAAAAGTTCTCTTCCAGTAGCATTTACCAGCTTTTTAGAAATGGATAGTTCCACATATGACAAATGATAAAATTTTATGGTGTAGAGGATGCCTCTAAATTACATGCTGTATACTCTTTGGATAAGGCTAGAGGAGATCCCAGGAAGTAATTTGTTTCTGGAGTACTTAAACTCAGTATAATCTAGTATACAACGTAAATGTGGATTTCTCAGAATTCTAGAAACCCTTGTGTCCTATGCATAAAACTGCTTCTGCAGTTTTCAATCTGAGAACTAAGCATGAGAGGGCAAAGAGGGAGACAGGAGAAAAACTGCAACAGGGCAGGAACAGACTCATCAAGAGAACGTTGACGAGTTCTCTTGACTGCACACTTGTCCACTGGACTCCCAGGTCAGCCTAAAGGGTTGGTATTTTCCATTCCAAGACTTGAGAAAGCGCCACAAGTTCATTTCCTTTTACTCTGGACTCAGTGGAGATAAGTCAGTTACTACTGGGTTTGTAAAAGAACCTTTTAATATTTGATATTAGATACCAGGCATCTCTTACCACAAAGAAGCTGTGATTTATAGAATCAGACATGGTATTAAAATGATGGTGTGACCAGAGCTGCCACACATAAAAATAACTCTATTTCAATCACAAAATAGAATGGTATGAAGTTTGGTAACTTGTAAACTTGGCTTTAAATTTATACCCCATCACTTAATAGCAGTCAGTTTAAACCTAGACCTGAGGTGACGGTAAAGTTGCTCCCGCTCATTCAGACTCCTCTTTTATAAAACATGGACAATAAGAGAACCTACCTCTTAGGTTCTCAGGGTTACTGTGGTGATGACATGAGTTTGACAGTACATGGTATATAATAAGCACTCAATGAGCGGGAGCAACTTTACCGTGAAACTAGCACCCTACAAGATGTTAGTTTCTTATATCTATTGTTTCACGTTCCTTCTTTCACATTATTTATGACATCTGTGATAACTAAACACTTTTTTACTTTACACCAAACTAATTTAGTCCTTCACCTTAGTATTTGCTATTTATCCTGGGCATGACATCCCAGGTTTGTCCCTACTATGTCTTACTTTGTTTCTTATCATTTCTTGTATAGAAAGTAGCCTCCTCTTCTCAGAGAATAAATATGAGGGTCAACCCCCGATTTCCTCAAGATCCTTTGTGGAAAACAGAGATAATAGAGGAAGTGGACACTCACCTTCTTGCCCTCAATAACCATCAAGATGCATCCTGCTACTGTAAGGGCAATCATTAAATAGCTGATCTTCACCCGAAACTTGTTCTTCGCAGCATCGAGCATTTCAAACCTACAATACAATGGCATCATGTGAGAAAGTTAATATTCTCTTTGTAAAGCTGCCAGCAGGATATAAAACTCACTGTACCACAAATCAGAAGGGGAGTGGTACCTAGAAATAAAAAAGGAGGTGGGGCCTAGAGATCTTGTAGGACCTTAGGGAGGATGGGACATTTTCACAACTCACTTTACATATAAAATACAGTAAGATAGTACAAATTTAAAGTAAGAAAAAGAGTGTGAAGATAGTGGAGCCAGGAACAAAGCAAAAAAAAAAAAAGTGAGGCATGTTAATCCACTCTTGACACGGTGGACTTCAGTTTAGGCTCTCAGGTGTGACATGAGCAGCCGATGTTAACAGGGAGACCAGCTGCTCTTTCTCCCTGGGGTTCTTAAGAAGATATGTGATATAATGATTGCCTGAAAAACAGATATTGCAATGAGCTTCACAAGCTTCAACAGAAAACACAATGGAGACCAAAAACAAACACAGGAGAAAGTGGAACATGTGCTCTTTCTGCCCAGCTTTTGCTCTGTCTGAACCGGATGAGATGCGAGAATACCTGCAACAGCAGTAAGAGCATTTAAGCAGTGCTCCCTTAATGTTTGCCTTTTAACTAATGCTTTGCTAAAATTGAGTAACAGTGAATTTGAGATTGCGCTTTTATTAGCAAGTGCCTCTTCTAACCTGCCCACTGATGCAGACCCATGTGCCTTAGCAGAGTACTGAAGATTGGATCATCATGCTTATGGGAAGGCTAAGAGGCCAACGGAGGAAGAGTTAACAGGAAGGCTGCTCCACCTTACGATTCTGTAGGTAAGCAGCAAGTCGAAGCTCTATTACCTGAGTATCTGGCAAAGCCTCAGGGAAGAGCATGTAGACTCCTAGCAGGCCCAGGATGGAAAACTGGTCTACTCAGTAAGGGTGTAAATAGAACTGATTATCCTTAGATGATTTTTAGCACATACTGCTTTTGAAATTATGGGGATAAAGTACTTCAAAAATGCTTAGAAGGGGGCACATGGTCTGGCACATGGCAGGTGGCAGGAGAACCCCAGAAGTACATGTGCCACGTGTAAGAGCTGGGACCAAGTGAGGCAGCCATGTGGACAGAGTTCTTCGAAGCTGGGCCTACAGGGTAGGAGAACTAGGGACAACTGCTAAGGATGGTGATGCTCTATTAAGAGCATCTGCGATCCTGCCAACCATAAACTAACTACCCATGTTGACAATATTTTATGTGAATTGGTATTTTCAACTGAAGGGCTGTGATCCTCATGAGAAGTGACAACAGTTTACATGTGAGGGAATGTTCAAAAGTAAAATGTGTTTGAATACAGCCAAGAACTTGCCCTCCATCCTCCAGGAAGTAGGCAGATGAGCAAGCTCAGCAGCACCCGTGCGGGACTGCCAGCCGAGGGATAAATGGCTGCCCAGGCCAAGAGAAGAGCCTTCTAAGTGTGACTCACTAGCTAATACTTTTGGCTTGAGGAGATCTTGGAAATCACCTACATGGCAGACTGAGGAAAGTGTTCCACAGCAAAGTCCACATAGTACCTAGTAGGGCTATGAGTATATACCACAATCTTTTCTGCTGGATGTTCAGGAAGAAATTAGGGCACAGGCAAGACCTTGATGTCTTAGGACTCCAGAAGCAGTCAAATTCAGGCTCTGTTAAGACTATTGTAAACAGAAAGCCAATACTACTTATCTTCCTGGAAAAAGATGTCCTGAATGAACCCAGCTCTTTTTCAGTCATCACCTGAAACCAGAAGCCAGAAGTTCCAGGAACAGTTTCTCACTAGAAGGGTATGTTTCCAGGAGCTCTGTCTCAAGTCCCTGTCCCTGGAGAGAAGGATGCCCCACAGAGGCATTCCTCAAAATCTCTCTAGGCCAGGATGCAAACCTGTCAGGGTCTTTGACATCAGGCTGGAGCAGTGGTTCTTAACTGGGGGATGATTTTGCCCCCCACCTCCTTGGAATATTTGGCAATGTCTGGAGACACTTCTGATTGCCACAATGACGTGCTGCTGGAATCTAAGCAGCAAAAAGGCCAAGGAGGCTGCTAAACGCCTACAATGCAAAGGCCAGGCCCTGCAACAAAGAATGCTCTGGCCCAAATGTCAGCAGTGCTGAGGCTGGGAAATCCTGAGTTAGTGGAATCTGTGCTTGTCACCTACAGACTGAAACAGTCCCACAGTCCCAGCCACAGATGGGTCTAAGATGCTGGTGACAGGAGACACTCTTTCCTGGACACTAGAAAGATAATATGTTGCTTTTAAATATTTATATGCCTACGGCTTAATACCTGAGAAGATTTTTATGGAATACAGTTACTGTCACTGGTACCTAACCAATACACTCGCAATAAAAACAAACTAAAAACAGTGAACATCACCATTTAGTCCCATTTCTGTAGCTAGGAGACCAAATCACATCAGATGACTTCCGAACACCTGACAGCTTTCATCAGGCTCTACATAGCTCCAATGAGAAGACACAGCTTTTCCTGCACTGTTTTTATTCCAGGTATTTGCCACAAAGCAAACATTTAGAGAAGTGAAAACTGTCCTAAAATTTGGCTGCAAGGTTTTAAGTAGACTCAGAGGAACTGCTTTTCCTTTAAAACATCAGAAATAAAAGCAGCTTACAACCCTAAGTTGAGCACTCACGAGACAGTCTCTGGGATTTCACCTTCCTTTTTGAAGCGGCCTGACCATATCAGGATCTTCTTCTCCCAGTCCGTAGGTTTGTGTAGTGGCACTTTGTGGCTGTAAGTGTCTGTGAGAAAATCAAGACAAGGTATCTTTCTTATTTGAGATAATGACTATCAAATTTAGCAATAGGAAAATGGCATTTGTGCTTTTTAGCTACTCACTAAACAGAACCACTGAGAAACCTCAAGCTTACTACAACTTTATTTGAATGCAATTTCTTAGGATGCCCCATTTCTCAAATGAGATTCCAAAATTTTGTGAGGACTGAGGTTAAATAAAGGCATTATTTCCAAACATAAGCCCTAGCCTTTGAAAGCTGAAAGAACACAATGAATAAAGATATAAAGGTAAAGATGAACAAGGAAGGACAGTGAGGAGCTTGTATGGCTTCAGTAGAATAAGAAAAACTTTTTAAGGTAAAATCAGATTATGAAAGACCGTGAATGCAGGCTAAGTTTTTAGACTTCACTTGGGAATGACTGTACATTTGAAGCAAGGAACACAAAGATTCAGGAAGATTAATCTGGAAGACAATGTCTGGGAGAGAAAGCTCGGTTGGACAGAGTGGGCAACAAGTCCAAACAGGAGGCTGTGATACCAGGGTGAGGCAGTATGTGTGGCCTGGAGCTGGAAGAGTGGGAGGACAAACAAGTCAATGTGAGGGTAACTGAGAGACCATGAAGAAATCCTGAAGGACCTCCAACCTGGATGACTAAGACAAGCAGTACTGTTAACCCAAGTAAGGAGACTGTGAAAAGAACCACTTAGGGAAGGAAAGAACACGAATACCACTTCAGAGCTATGAGACCCTAAATTTATGAATCTGAGTAGGTCTGACTGATAAGTTGGAAGTGGAGATAGCCATCAAACCAACAAAAGTAAACACCAAAGGGAGAGCGGAAGGCCAAGGGCTGAGCCTTGGAGCATGACCCACACAAGGCGACAGGAGAAAGGCAGCAAGGAAAGTGGAGTGGCCGAAGAGGCAGATGAACAAGAAAGGTACAGAACCTCAGAGTGCACAAGTCTCTCAAAAACAGGGAAAGTCACTGAAGATGGGGAGCAGAAAAGGAATCACAGAATGCCAGGGCTAGAAGGGACCTGGCAGATAATCTCTTCCTACTTCTATGTAGTGCCTACATCTTTTTTGCAGACAGACCATGTCCTTGACTGTCACTTACACACCACACTCATTTCTGCCTCCACACCTTTGCCTACACTGTGCCTTCCACTTCATCAGAAGGCGACAGCAAAAGGCAAGTCATCAGGAAAAAATTCTAGAGAACCAAAGGCAAGAAAACAGGTTTACAAACAGTACTGCTGTAGTTTTACCTTTTAACCCTTCCAGCACTTGGCACAACTCTCTACAGTTTTCTCTTTTAAAAACCTTAAGTACTATATACCCCTTAAAGACAATTCAGGAAGTATAAATATGAAAAGATAAAAAAACCAGCCCTAATTCTCTTGTCATGGCATAATCACTGTATTTTTATTTTGGTGTATTTTCTAAGTCTCATCCTGATTTAAGTACATATTTATGTATAATTTACATGTACATCATCTTACACTTAAACGCAATATAAAATTTTGTACCTGCTCTGTTCATTAACATGACATACTTTCCATGCTAGTACGAGGTATTTATAAGCACCATTTCTAACAGCTGCAAAATCTCATCAAGCAGGTCTAACATATATAATATGTTAATCATTCCTGGATTATTTGACATTTAGATTTTTTCCCATTTTCCTATTTTATATAAAAAATGGGAACATTTTTACACTCAAAGCTTTTCCCACATGGAGGAATTATTCCTCAGGATAGATGGCCAGAAGTGAAATACCAGGTCAAAGGGTATAAACATTTTTAAGTTCTTGATAGAAATTCTTTGACGACAGTTCTTTTCCACTCCCCCAGACCTGCTGGCCCTAGGGCACGCCGTGAAGAAACAACAACCAAGTAGTTCCTGAGACCCTACAGTTTATATATTATGCTTCTTCTTTCCCTGGTGGTGATGGTGACAAGTTTGAGCTAGGGACAGGACTAAACACAGCTGAAATTAATGGCCAATGCAGAGCTTAGCCCTATTATATTTTACTGAAAACAGCATTCTTGAACTTCATCTTTAGGGTTCCTTGAAAGATAATTTCTAGACCACTATTTACTTTGATATTTTACTACTTACATCTATTCTCCTACAAAAAAGCTCCAGTCTAATCCTTGAGGCAGAAGATGAAAATGACACAAGGAAAATGAAGAAATCATTGTTATTTGTGAGCACAACCAATATAAATACAATTTGGGAGGCCTGAACTACCTGGTAGGGTATGATGGGGAGAACTTGTGACCACCTCTCTTTTAGGTTCCTTTGATTCCAAGTTCACTCTTTGGGAGCTCCCTTGTCCTACCAGGAAAAACTAATAAAAACTTACAGGATGGAGCTTTTGAAGTTTCCTGTGGTTTAGTGCAAAATCCATGCATGCTCTTCAAATCAGTGTTTCTGGTAAGCCTTAGAGATGAGGAAACATTTCTTTCACATAACCTAAAGCAACTTCCTAGAAAAGAGGGAAAATGTTTCAGAGAAGGAAAATCTGATATTGTCTCAAAATGAGAAATGCCTGCAAGGTATTTCATCTATAAAAATTAAGTCATTTAAAAAATACACTACTCTCTATGTAAGCTATACATACATTTAAGGTGCTATGCTCGGTGCTGATTTAAAATACATTTTGCTGATTAGGAAATGAGTCATTTACAACATGTTTCGTCTGTTGTAAGTTTTAGAGAAGTACTTCTCATATGTGTCCTGTCATAACAATAATGGTGGAAATAATACATATTATGGCACTGAGCTGTGTAAACAAAGATTAGAAGCTCTCAGAGGTGACAAGCCAAGGTGCCTGGCTGTCAGCACTGTTCTTGTAAATTCAGGATAGGGGGCTGCAATGGCTAGCAAGGTGCTCTAGGAAGCCTTGCTCCTTTAAGCCGTAATTCTCCAATTAGAAATCAACTTTAGATGTAGTCATGAATTATGTGTAATTTAAAAATAATATATATATAAAAGTATAAAACTATTATTTTATATATATAGTTTATTTTTACAGTCTAAATTCTAAGCACCTAAAGTAATATTACAAATTTCTATGTACTCACACCTGGTTTCAGCAATTATCAATACATGACCAATAAATACACTTTCATTTGAATCCTACTCACTCCCTGCCTCCTACTGAATATTTTTTTCCTCAGACTAAAACTTATTGTTCCAATAAACCAACAAATGACATTTTAAAATTTAGGACAGTGTACACTGCCACTTTCTTAATGTGAGGAGAGGTTGGGGGAAAAGCTTTTTATTTGCATAAACCAACAAACATTAAAATTATGTTTATTTTCAAGAGGGCTGTCATAATTCAACAGTTAGGAAATAGGACTCTCAAAAAGTGAGGTCATCATCTTCAGGTCCTGTACAATTTTAAAATGGTCGCTTCTCATGAAAAATCAGAAAGCATGGCAGAAGTGGATGCCATGAATTTCAATGTCTTTTCAAGACTTAACTCACTCAACTTCTCCCTTCTCTATGGGAACCAGCAGTACCACTTCAGATTTGCCCCAGGTGTGCATTGCTTAAAAGGTCTGGGAGGTACAGATGAATTCAGCCTTCACATTGTCTTCCATGTGAAAAATTTCTTTAAAAACATAAAGAACAACAAAAGAAACTCTGGCAGAGGCACTGAGGATGGGAAGAGTCTGGTTTCCCCAGTCCCATTAATATACAAAAAAAGGTAGAATTCTACAAAGAGTGTCAAAACTCATCCTTTCTAGCCTCCTCCTCAAGTCCCAAGAGTGCAGCCAGAGGACATGGCCCCCACAACTCAGTCACAGAGGCAGGACAGGAGCCCAAGGGGCTGACAACTGGCCTGCAGCATCTTCCACTATGTCAGCATGGAAATGATTCAAATGCCACAATGACGACATTGACAGGGCACTGCAAGTAAATGACTTCTGTCCTGGCTCCATGAAAGATTGTATTGTTCCAAATGTTTTTCTTCTCAATTTTTTTATTGAGGTACAGTTGATAAACAATATTATATTGGTTTCAGATAAACAATAGTGAGTCAACAGCTACTCAATTATTATAGTGCAGTTAGTATGTGTCAACATAGAAAGATGTTACAGAACCAATGACTACATTCCCCATGCTGCACATCTATCCCTGTGACCAACTTATGAATGAAATTTTTGTGCACTTTTATCCCCCTCCCCACCCACCTTAAACCCTCCTGCATGGTAACCACCCATAATTTCTCAGTGTCTGTGAGTCTACTGCTATTTTGTTCATTTTATTTTTAGATTCCACAGTAAGTTAAATCATGATATTTGTCTTTCTCTGCCTAGCTTATTTCACTGAGCGTAATACCCTCTAGATCCATCCATGTTGTCACAAATGGCAGAATTTTTTATGGCTGAATAATACTCCATTGTGTATATGTACCACCTCTTCTTTATCCACACGTCTATTGATGAACACTGGTTGCTTCCATATCTTGGCTATTGTAAATAATGCAGCAACAAGCATAGGGGTGCATAGATCTTTTTGAATCAGGGATTTTGTTTTCTTCAGGTAAATTCCTAGGAGTGGAATTACTGGGTCATATGGTACTTTTAGTTCTAGTTTTTTGAGGAACCTCTATACTGCCTTCCACAGTGGCTGTACCAATTGACATTCCCACCACAACCTCACCAGCACTTGTTATTTATTATCTTTTGGATAGTGGCCATTCTGACTGGTGTGAGGTGATACCTCATTGTAGTTTTGATTTGCATTTCCCTGTTGATTAGTGATGTCGAGCATCTTTTCATGTGCTTGTTGGTCATCTGTATTTCTTCTTCAGAGAAATGTTCAGGTCCTCTGCCCAGTTTTTAATTGTGTTGATTTTTTCTTACTGAAGCATTTAGGTTTTTAAAATATTTTGGATGTTGAACTCTTACTGGATAGATTGTTTATGAATATATTCTCCCATACTGTAGGTTGACTTTTTGTTCTGTTGATGGTGTCCTTTGCTGTACAAAGCTTTTCAATTTGACGTAGTCCCACCTGTTCATTTTTTATTTTGTTTCCCTTGCCCAAGATGATGTGTCCAGGAAAAACTGCTCATGCTTATGTTCAAGAGATTTTGCCTATGCTTTCTTCTCAGAGTTTTATGGTTTCGTGTCTTACATTCAGGTCTTTAATCCATTTTGAGTTTACTTTTGTGTATGGAGTTGGATACAGTTTCATTCTCCTAAATGTAGCTGTCTAGTTTTCCCAACACCTGTTATTGAAGAGGCTGTCTTCTCCCCATTATATATTCATAGCTCCTTTATTGTATATTAATTGACCATATATGTGTGGTTTATATCTGGGCTCTCAATTCCATTCCACTATTTATGGGTCTGTTCTTGTGCCAGTACCATAGTTTTGATTACTGTAGCTTTGTAGTATAGCTTAAAGTCAGGGAGGGTAATCCCCCCAGCTTTGTTTTCTCAGTATTGCTTTGGCTATTTGGGGTCTTTTCTGGTTCTATATGAATTTTAGGATTTTTTGCTCTAGTTCACTGAAAAATGCCATTGGTATTTTGATAGGGAATGCACTGAATCTGTAAATTGCTTTGGGTAGGAGTACCACATCTTCTTTATCCATTCTATTGATGGACACTTTGGTTGCTTCCATATCTTGGCTATTGTAAGTAATGTGGCAATAAATATAGGGGTGCATATATCTTTTTGAACCAGGGATTTTGTTTTCTTTAGGTAAACTCTAGGAATGGAGTTACTGGGTGCTTACTGGATTATTTTAAAGCAAACCCCAAGCATCCTATTTGTTCATCCATAAATACTTCAGTGTGCATCTCAAAACATAAATTTATCAAATTCACATCCAGAAAACCATTAATATAACTAAAAATATTTCTTTAATATTGGTACATTATGTTAATGTATGATTCAATTCCCCAGTGGGCTCAAAAAACTTTTACTACAGTTGAGTAAAATTGTGTAAAATCTCTGGACATGAAACTCCATTCTGAAGCTCCATTTTCCTTCCTACTTATGAACTTTTGAACTGTGCCAGAAACACAGTTTTCTTTTTTTTACCAAGTAATTGCTAGTAAAATCAACAGGGCAATAGGTATCTGAACAGAGACCATAAAGAAAAAGCTTTATGGAGATTGGGTAGTTAGTGAAGGCATACCAGTACACCAAAGAGCTAACAAACAGTTGTTATCGGCCTGTTAGTGCCAGTCAATAATTCTTTTTCTCCTCCTCCTTCCCTATCCAGGTCATATAATTGCCCCTACTTCCTCTTTCTTACAAGAACCCCTCATTTCCCTGTGCAGGTGGAATACTTCCTGGTTGATGCATCTGTGCTCCTCAGATTAAAATTCTGAGACCCAAATAAAGGCCTTTATTTCTTTTACAGTATTGCCTGCTGTTTCTTGGTTGACAGTTGATTTAAAGAGGTGCACATAGAATAAGGTTGATGCATACTGTATAGGTCCCCCCTCTTTTTTCATCATTTATTTGAAGAAACTAGGTCATTAGTTTTATAGAATTTCCCTTATTTTAGATTTTGCTGATTGCATCCCCATGGTGTTAACATATTCTAACTCACTTATTTCTTGTAAACAGATTTTTGAGATTTCATCAGATCGAAGTTAGAATTTTTAGCAAGAATATGTCATGGATGGTACTTCCTATTGTAGCACAAGAGGTATACATCAATTTTGTCTTTTTTTGTGAGATTAAGATTGATCAGATGCTCAGTCTGACTCATCCCTTATAAAGTTCTTCATTAATCTTTCTTTCATTTAATGTTTTTTAGCCGACATTAGTGATTGTTACTTAGATCTACTGTTTCATCAGGGAATGCAAAAAATTAGGGTAGTATTCTTTTTTACACTAACTATTTGGTTATCCTAAGATAAAAGTCATAAAGAAAATGTTGAACAAATGCTTGATTCTTTCCCATTACTTGGTACTTTTCAAATTAATGAATTAGTGTCCCTGCAACCTCCAAAGGTGACCTTTTGTTTAAAAATAACATAAGGACCTCTTGAATTTTAACACGTGATATGCTAAGTCCTGTCAAGTTATTTTTCTTTTTTGATCTTCAGCTATTCCCACATTTAGTCACTGGGGAGCTTTCTAAGTTGGTTCCTAAGTCCTTTCAACATGTGGTGAGTGATCCCTGATAGCTTCCTTACTCTATGACAAGATGTTTTGGGCTCATTTTGAATGCTTCCTGCCCCCGATCTGGAATCGGACATTCTTCCAACGTGCCCTGGCTCCTTTAAAGAGGAAATATTTTAGAGATGCCTTAGGGAGGCTAACTGTTACGGGTTGGCCATTGCTTCCAGGACTCTTCGGTGAGCAAAGCTAGTAAACACACTCTTATGTAAAATAAATGTATGCTTAAGAACTGAGTTTCATTAGCAATTTTCACCTTCAGCTTTAGTGTGAAAATTGTTAATAAGTCAGTAATTAACCAGAAATCAAAGTGGAGTCAGACTGAAAT